CGCGCTATATCTTCATTATCATTGCACTTGATTTTGTGCTTTTACAAAATGAAATGGAAATATGTTAATAAGTAAGTAATATATAGTGTTCAATCAAGTTAGCAAATTTAAGGCTTTGAAAAGAGTTTTCTCGATCCCACTGCATGTTTCTATGTGTATAATTTAGTGTTTTTAAATATTTTTTGTAGAATGTCTCGCTCATTTACGAACAGTAAGTTAAAAGTCGTATTACGAAGGGAATGACGTCAAAAGCAACGTGAATTAATAAACAATATAATTGACTGTCACTTTGAAGATGATGATTCAATAAACAATGATAATGAAAATAACAATACATTATATGAAGATACAAGTTCGATTACAATTGATGACACCGAAGGTTTTCATTCTTTCGAAAGTGATCATCATAATGAATCATCATCTCGAGTAGACTACATAATAGATACGGGTGACCTACTAGACGACGATCAATGCAACTTCAAATATGATTTATCAAAACCTTTATATGATACTGCACGCATAACTGTGAAGAAAGCAACTTCTGAATTAATGAATTTTGCTGTGGAATCAAACTCGGATAAATCAACGACTATACGATTATTTAAATTAGTAAAAAGTCTTTTACCTACGTCAAACATATTACCCACAACTTATACTACAATTATGAAATCTTTAGAACAATTATCACTTTCTCAATCAAAATACTATTGTAACGGATGTACTCAATTATGTATTATGCGAAAGAATAAGAAAATATGTGATAATCGTGATTGTGCATTTTCTAGGTTATCATTAAAATCCCATCAAATTAGCAAAATTGTTGAACTCGATCTTGCAACTCAACTAAAAACAATAATTAGTCGAAATTTCTCTTTATTTTTCAATGAACAAAAACTTTCTCAAGATTTCGATGTGCCTCATGGACGTCAATATCAATCTTTTCCAACATCTAAGAACCAAAAAATAACTCTCATAATTCATGCCGATGGTTCACCACTTGTTCGTACTACAAAGTCTTCAGTTTGGCCTGTATTCGGTTCAATTGTCGAGTTACCACATCAAGTAAGGGAATTTCAAAGTAATATTTTAGTTTTAGCTTTGTGGGCATCGTGTCAAAAACCCAATGTCGACCTGCTGATGAAGAACTGTATTGCTCAATTAGTCGAATATGAAAAAAATGATCTAGTAATCATGGTAAAGGGAATCGAACTTCACATTAATATTCAACGTCAAATGTTTATTGCTGATCTTCCAGCTAAATCCCTCTTTATGAAGACCATCAGTTACAATGGATATTCAGCATGTACTGTTTGCACGGCTAAAGGTAAGATTGTTTTGTTCTGTATTTGTTTTTGTTGTTAATGTTGAGGAAATTAGTGATAGTTTGTCCAGCGTAATACAAATAAGTATAAAACTAAAATATTAAATAGGACTTAGTGAACAAATAATATACTTCTGATTGTTATTAATGTCATATTATGGCTTCTTAGAAATTATGTTTTATGTCATGCAAATTTTTCCAAAATAAAGTACTAGATTCTCTCAAGATAAATGATTGGAAATAATTTTTCCCATGGGACGATGTCTTGATCGTATCGTTAGAGTGTCTAAATGGATTATTGATTCCAGTGTAATTTGAAATAATTATATATTTAATTTAACTCGAGATTTTCGCCATCAATTCCTTCGTACCAAGTTTATTTCAGTATTTTTTGATTGACTATTTAATAAAATTTATCTTCATAAGTTATCTACGAAAAGTTTAGAATTGAAATCATATAAATATAGCATTTATAAAAAAACTATTGTAACAGAATACTTACAATCTTTTGATTCTAGGAACATGCAAAGGACAAGTTGTTTATCCATATCGTGAGGGTGTGGGTGTGGGTGTGGGTGTGGGTGTGGGGTGTGGGTGTGTTGGAAGCAACCACGACGCGTTTCGACTCTGCTCAGGAGTCTCATCAGGTGGCTTAGGTCGTTAGTTAGATCCAAATAATTTCAACGAAAATACAAATCATTCAATGTAAATTTGTTTCAGATACCATAAAAAAGAAACCTGAAAGACGCGGTTCGACTCTGCTCAGGAGTCTCATCAGGTGGCTTAAGATCTTCAAAATCGATTGCAAAATTCAAAAGAAAGTTTTGAACAAAAATTATAAGAATCGTGCTGAGTTGGTTGGTATTGTTGCCTTTTAGTTAGGATAGTTTGCAGTGCGAGAAACGAAGCACTTGTGATTTAATTCAATTCAGATTGTTTACTTGTTTGGATTCTTCGTTGTGATTTGTGAGGTTTAGTTCTTGGAGTTTTTTTGTGAATTGTGACATCTAGTGATGATGTCTGGTTTAAATGGTTTTTGAATGAGTAGTAGAATTGTCGAAGTATGAGTATTTAGATGTTCAAAGCTTTATATCTAGAATTAAATGGTCATATATATTTAATTTTGAATGTTAATATGTTATTGGTAGCAGACGGAAAGAAAAAATATATTTGTTTAGTTAGAAGAAGCGATTTTATTTTCTGCAGAATGTGACAGAAGTTCAGTGTTCACTAGCCTATGTCGTCTAACTTGTAGTTCAGAAGTGTTGATTCGATCGGAAAATCGGTGTTGTGTAGAATAGTTGTAGTGGTAATAAGGTGAATTTTGCAGAATTGGGTGTGGATCAATTTACGATGCGTCTTTCAGGTTTCTTTTTTATGGTATCTGAAACAAATTTACATTGAATATTAGTGAAAGTCCCAGATAGAGAAGAAAAATCTTACTTAGGAGCGGGGTGGGTTTCAACATTGTTTGATGTGGTCTTTTTTGTACTAACTCATGTCGAGTGTTGCGATGATTTCGATGTCCAAGAATGAGTCGAAGGTCTGTTGCTATTGTATCGTGAAATATTTCTGAATAAAGCTTATGTATGTCGCGTTTCAGAGTATGTAGTCTTTGTTCATGTGTATAATGAAGAAAGAAAGCCTGTTTAAATTTATTCGGCTTTTTTTGTTTTAAGATTGTGGGAATCCTTGCGGTTTTTTCTTCAGTATTGTGATTATCAGTCTCTTCGTTGAATGGAACAGCTGCAATTCTATGTTGTGTTTCTCGTTCTTTGACATTCAGTTTAGGTAGTAAGGTATTCCTCATAACTAAAAATTCATTCTCGTTGGTGATGAATGGTAGCATAGATGATTTTGATATTGAGCGACCGAAGAATTTTCTGAAATGTGTATCAATATACCTTGATGGATACCTAACCGATGTATAATATAGTAAAGGAATTAGACCAATAATGACATAATAAATGTTCCTGATAGAGAGACTTACCCATTATAGAGTAGCATCAATCGAATAGCACGACGTTCCTTTTCAAAAATGTCAAATGTAGATGAATAACGTACAGCGCGAAGAAGAGCAGCTTGAATAATATTAGAAAAGACATGACGAGGATGATCAGAAATAAATGGTACAACACAAGGTTCGGCTGCTGTTTTATGATGGACAGATGTGGATAGAATACCATTCTTATTGTTGATGAGTAGATCAAGAAATGAAACACAACTACCAATATTAGCTTCTAATTTAATGTTTGGATGAAAGTCATTAGCTTTTTTGATGACTGCCTCAATTTTTGTCTTTGGTTCATTAAAAGTAAAGAAGATATCATCAATATATCTAGGATAATCAAAGGAAAAAAGATATTGAATCTCTTCAAATAAAACAAGAAGATAAATAAACAATAACATACCGGCCATAGATCTCATAGGGACCTATTGCACCACAAATGGCATTTTTTTCCCATTTCCACATGAAAATGTTGGCTAATGTTAAAGTAAATGGTGATCCCATTGCACCACCAATAATTTGTCGATAAAATTTATTTCCATCGACAAATGCAGTCTCTTTGAGAACAAGATCAGCTAATTGAAGAATAACTTTAATTGAAATGCCTTGAACTTTCTCATAATGATATTCAAGAAGAAATTCTTCGAGGATAAGTTCGTAATATCAGCTGTACAAAATAGAGTCGTATGCTTCAAATGACCATTACGAACATATTGTTCTAATTGACGAAGAAGATGACCACCATCAATAATGGGTCTCGGTTGAGCATGTATATCAAACAAAGGTCGCATGGATTGATCCAAAAATCGAGATATTCCAGTAGTGGCAGCATGAATCGTATTCATAATAGGTCGAAGTGTTATTGGATTCTAATTAGAAGAAGATGAAAGGAAATAGTTATTGAATTTGAAAAAAACGAGTAATAAATAGTAGGTAACATTACCTTATGTGTTTTCGGATTGTAATACATATAGGCTAACTCGACAGTTAACCGACTTGGTATCATTTTTTTATATTGCTGAGATGAAATTTGATTGGGCTTGGCATGAAGATCATTGAGTAAGCGAGTGACTTTACTTAAAATCTCTTCAATGGGACTTGATGATAATTCTTCATAAGCACCTGTTTTCAGTCGATAATCAGCTGCTTTTTCTTCAAATTCATTTAAATGAGCTACATATAAATTGCCACCTTTATCTGTTTCTCGAAGAAGTAATTGATTTTTCTTGAGTTTACGACGAATCAACTTCANTCAAAGGATCATTTGTATAAGATAACGAAAACCAATGAACCTCAAACATGAGACAAGCAAGAAGACGTTCAGAAAATTGTTTGAAAATATTTGATCCAGCATTTATGCAACTTTTTTCTGGAAGCCCTGATGACGTTCGATTCACCATGATTTTATGTTGCTCTTGAACTATTTTTACTCGTTCCTTATATGAACGAAGAGCAGTGCGATTTGGTCGAATATAATTTCCATCTGAATAAATGAAAGAAAGAAATCAATTGAAATTCTATGAAGTCCATCATTTGTGTATATCATACTTCGAGAAAGATATTCATGTCCAATCACAGCCAATGTATGGTCATTCACATTGAGTATAACTTCTGGAGATACGCCAATTGTTTGCTTTGCTTTTTTAGAACGTTGACGATGACGACTAAGTTTTCCATGAAAACTGTTCATCTGTTGAAATGTATCTTTCTTGATTTGAATAGTTCGATGTTTTATATAAGCTTGAACAGTACGAAATAGAACACGTGCATCATGATGATGATGTTGATGATTGGAAATGTCTAACTCTAATTGTGTTAACTCTAATTGTGTTAACTCTTCTTGATATTGTCGATTACATTCTTTCATCTTGACATCATAAGATTCCATCAGTATATCGAGCCAAGTTCGTTTAGTTTCTTGTAAGATTTTTGAACGTTTTAGTTTGTAATTGAGTGAATATTGATCTTCAAGAGCAGGTGTATAGAAATCAGGTGCAATCAGAGTATCTAATTGATCAAAACTAACAGGTAGTAGTTTTGATAGAATTCGTTGTTCCAACAGCAACAATTCTTTTCGTATTTGTAATTCTGTTTCTCGTAGATGAATAAGACGATTGATTGATTCCTTCTGATGACTTGTCAGATTATTGTTGAATAAAATGCGATGAAGTCGTTTTTCATGTAACTCATCTTTGAATCGTTTTAATTGATGGTGAATTTTATGAGTGAATCGTTTTTGTTGTGAACAGATATATTCTTTTAAATGATGATCAAGGAGAGTCATCGTCAATTTTTCAGGACACGTTGATGCTTGTAAATTCAACTGTGTACCACATTGTTCTAATTGCTGTTGTATATGAGTCAAATAGTCTTGTATGAATTTTTGGCATGATTGAGGTTCATTGGTTTTCGTTATCTTATACAAATGATCCTTTGAGTAAAAAAACAAACATGACAATAGTTATTCGCAGTCTAATGAACGGTGTAAACTTACTGGCCATTGATGTTGTTCATAGCCAATATCAAAATAAGATTGCCAAAGAGATTGATGTATATTTAAACAAAATTGTAAATCTAATAGTTTTAATCGTGAGTAAATAAATTTATGTTCCGCTTTGGTCTTAAGTGGATGATTGAGCTGCCGACCTAGTGCTTGAATAAATAACCTTGGTGATCGTTTTAAATAGAATGCTACTCGATACACTTTATCGGGGTTTGGCACTGATGTCTGGATTATATTTTGTTTCTTTTTTACTTTCTTTGGTTCTGGTTGTGAAATTGAAAATTGGCTCAGTGATCGAACGGGTTCTCGTTTTCGTTTGATAGAAGTTTTTTTAATATTCTGCTTCAATGTCTAGCGTATACATAAACTTTATTATTTCATCATAAAAATTCAAGTCAATACTCTCTTACTATGATTGTTTTAGGACGATGGTCGATTGAATCATTGTTATTGATGATGGATGTTGGTTGATTTGTACGAGAATCACCAAATCTCTTCTTGATTTTCCTCTCAATGTTATGTGGTTTCATTCCTCGAGCACGACATTTCTTACGAAATCGTTGTACTTTTCGATTACCATGACATTTTCTACGTCGTTTCTTTTCCTGTACTGGTTGATCTGATGATTTATTTTCATTAATCGTCTTCAACACTCGATGATTACAGTCCTTATCCATGATGACAGTAAATCCGCTTTTTACGTATATCTAAAATTATTGAAGACAATCCTAGTGAAAAAATTATAATAAAAGAAAAACAGAAAAAGCATCGAGTAAAATAATATTTTATTTGATAATACTAAATGAAAGATTCTATATTGTTATGGAACATTTGCATTAAGTTGAAATAATTGAGCTTTGCATTTGTAGATAAATTCGAGACGTGCATCAATATTTGCTAAACGTTTTTCCATCAGATGAATCATCGTTGGAGTTAATCATTGATCAAGTGGAAGCATTTTTTCATGTTGCCACACTTGATTCATTTCCATATTGTATTGTTTTTGATACTGACGCGTTTGTCCTTCGGCTGTATCTCTAGCTAGTATCATTATATCAGCTTTAGCTTGTTCAGCAACTTCGATATAATGTTTGGATAATTTCTTTCGTACAGTTATATCTTGAATACTATCAATTATAGATGGTTTTCCCACGAGTTGATTCTGAAAAGAATTCAAAGCCAAATGTACAGGAATACATTGTTTGAGTGAATTAAAATGATATTTCGTGATAGCTTCTTCATATTTTAACTTACAGAAACGTTTGAACAGTTGTATCTAATCAAAGAATTGAAAACGTCTATGATATTGTACATTCATCTAAATATGACGGATGATATCCTTACCTGGTTTTCATTGGGATTTTCAATCAAATATTGACGCTTTAGTATTTCATCAACGTAATGATATTGAACGAGTGCTATTCGACAATCATATTCGATACGTTGATACATGAATCCTTGTTTTACAAAATTTTCAATTGTTAATTCCATCGCCGATGTATAATCCATGACATGACTTGTTCGATATCGTAATTGATTTCGATATATTTCATTTTGATCATTCAATTTCTTTTGACAATGATCAACAAATAGGTGACATTTTTCATCATCAGTTATGTTTGCATTTTTGACATGTTTAATTCGAGAACGAATTTCGAGGGTGTGGGTGTGGGTGTGAGGGTGTGTGGGTGTGTTTAGAATGGAATTTTTTAGATTCAAAGCTACTTACGACGCGTTTCGACTGTTGCTTAGACAGTCATCTTCAGGCAAGTGAAGAATCTAAATAACTGCATATCGATCAAATAATCCTTAAGTAAAAATTAAATAAAAATCAAAGCAAATTGACTTCCAATAAAATTTTCAACAAAAATGATTAAAGATCACTACTATCAGAAGATAATAGACANGTAATTGATTTCGATATATTTCATTTTGATCATTCAATTTCTTTTGGCAATGATCAACAAATAGGTGACATTTTTCATCATCAGTTATGTTTGCATTTTCGACATGTTTAATTCGAGAACGAATTTCGAACGGCCAAATTTTCAAACCAACATCCTTGGTTGATCGTGTTTGTTGAAATTCACCCATACCTGATTTTCTATATGTTATCCAAAGAGTTTGTAGTTTTTCGAGTAATAACATTTTATTCATAAGAATAGCAACATGTCTTAATTCCTCCAAATGATTTTGACTGATTTTTGGTCGTATAGCATGAATCGTTTCTTTAAATGATTCATTTGAACTACACAAATAAGGTGGAAATTGATTGATATTGACTCCAATTAATTGTGTAAGATCGAGTTCTGTATAAGGAATAATCTTGCTTTGTTTTGATACTTTGTTCTTCTGCTTCTTCTTCGGATGCTGCAGTGAACTGGATAGTTGACTAAACCTCTGTGATAAATCAACTTCGTTCCATATCGACTAAAATAGAAGATGTTAACTGATATATATTTTTCATAACAAAAAATGAATTTGTTTCTACTTGTGAGTGTTGCATTGGTTGAGCCATGGTTACACAGTGTCCTTTAATGTATGTTTGTGTATTTTAATAATTTGATAATCATTATCTGAAAAGAGACGATTATGAATAGAAATATATCTAAAACGAAAGAAAGTGAGCAAAATCAATGTGTATCATGTTAGATAATAAAAAAATAGTTTTTTTTTTGTTTCTTTTTCAAATAATCTATTTAAAACTAATGCTATTCTATTACAAACCAACTACTTCTACTAATACAACATGGAAATATGATAATATTTATATTGTCAATTCAGATTTCTTCGATGTTATTGTTAATGATAACTATGAGTATCGTGATCTACACAAGAAAAAAATAGACATGACTGATGAAGATAAGAGTAAACATAAAAATGATATTTACTGCTTTTATTCTGTTCATTTTTTTATAAAGTCAAAAGACGAATAGGTGGTCGTTTATTAGCGAGAATATCACTCGTTGCGATAGGAATTAATGTTCGTTTTACCCATTTGATCTGAATATATTTCGTTTGTTGTTCATTACCATAATATTTCTTCCACCAAACTTTCAAGCGTTGCTTGTAACTGGCTAAAGTTTCTTGATCATTGAACTGTGGACATGGAAGGAATAATGTATTATGTCTTTGCCTTTCACGTTGTTTCTTTAACTCTGCTTGTCGATCAACATCTTGGATGATATTTCGACGTAATTGACGATATTCATCGTCTTGTAAACAATATGAAAAACAGCGTGTTAGGAGACCATATTCTACGTAAAAATTTTGTATAATAGAGTCGATCGATTTAGGCGGCAAGCCAGATAAAAGAAATGCTACATCAATATGAGATCGTTCCCATCGGAATTTCTCCAGATCAGAACAACATCGAACTGCTCGGTATAGAACAGCATGCAGTTCTTTTGACATGTTTTCCATAGATTCATCGGATACATTTGGTAAAGTATCAATATCTCGATCATAATAAACTTTACTTTCCAAAACGCCTTTGCTGTTGTGACCAATTTCGAGATCATGAAAATGAACTGTTGATCCAATAGACATTGTCACGAGATTTTCAGTATGTTCAGTATCGGTGCCTGTATTGAACAATGTACGAAATTCATCTTCTGATCCATGCCATGTGAGCAATGCTTGGTCTTGATATCTATTAATAGAGTTGAACGAAAAATATCTCATAACTATACGATAAAATTTCTAAGAATCCTACCTGCCAAACAGTTCGTTTTTTTCTACGAAGGATGTTACAAGATCTCGATGTTGCCCATAAAACATATTTATGTAGGCCAATAGCATAGTTAATGGTAGACCAGAAGCCCCACCCTTGAACTGTTGATACAGTTTATTATTAGAAACACAAAACTGATTTTGTAAAACTATATAAACCAATTCTATCATAGTATCAACGGTGATACCCTGTATCATTTGATCCTTTAATTGATCGCTCAATAAAGATTTCAATGCTGCAATTGTTTGTTCGTGAGAAAAAATTGTCGTAAGATTATCCATGTTTAAAGTGACGAAAAGAGCACTAGGTTTGAGATGACCATTTTGTGCATAGCGTTCAATGGCATGTACAACATCGATCGCTCCATTTGAAAATCGTATACAATTAGTTGCACGATCAAAGATCGACCATAGAAGAGGAGTAATATAACGAGCAATAGCCATTGTCGGTCCATCATTACACACCATGATTGGTCGCACTGGTATCTGTCCCTATGTGTATTCATTCATAACATAAAATTGTAAAAAATCTATAAGATACGTACTTTGTGTGTTTCAGGTACAAAATAAAGATAATTCAATCTAAGTGATGATCGATCAATAGTCATTGCTAAATATTGTCTTTTGGCGATAGATTTAGAACGAAGTAAATTGTGTAATTTAATTTCTACTCGTTCGACAATATCAATTAAACATTTTTTGCTAGCATTTTGATTAACTCCATTTAGTTGATGAATCAATTTATAAGCACCCGTTCGTGCCATATAATCGCCTACTTTTTGTTGAAAACTATTTTGAGAGCATATGTAAACTGAACTGCCCTTATATGGTAATCTGGCAATGGCATTTGCAGCTATTGTCTTACGTCGAATCGATAATAGAGTTTGGTTTTCAACTCGAGCACTTTTACGCTCATGTGAATTCAAATGATCATAATCCATGTTGTGAATAAAATTAGGCAAATCCTTCCAATCAAGATCTTTTAATTTCTGTGGTTCTGTGTGGTGATATGTCAATTGGTTATCTTGATCCTCGCCGTCATCGTCCTTATACAAAATCCATGTACTATCATTAACATCATCATCATCATCATCAATATCCTGATATTCGTCATCATCGTCTTCTTGTTTATCATTCATAGCTTTTGTGTTATTGACATTGAATTCACCGTTTTCATGGGTATTGTCATCAAGTAAGGCGCTTGATTGAACTGTACATGAATGTGTTTTCATTGATGCTGGACTCATACCACTATTATTGCTATCAAAATAGTGAGGCGTGATGTCTCGGGTCATTGTCTAAGGTAAAAATCAAAATAGAGTATATATAGAATTTAAATTTCTTCTTTTTTTGTATACATACTGGGGGCATCATTATAGGATGATTGAATGTTGATTGTTCAACCATGTCATCATCCAAAACATTATTATTATCGATGAACGACGCTTGTGAAAAGCTTCCCATTAGTCCAAAAGTGTTTATTCTATTTAAATATTTCTATCTAAAATAGTACTGTAAATATCAAAACTATAAAAATAAAGATCAAATTCAAAGTCAAAAACTTTTGTATAGCCATTTCATTTATATACAACGCTGGATGATGACAATGATAATCAGTTAACTATTATAAGATAACGACAACTACGATGTATACAGAAAGATCTATTTTGATTTTCCTGTCAAAAGACAAAATAGTCTACTGAATCGATATCTAAAATTTCTTCTAGAATAAAATTTCATGTAAGTTACTATCGAATTTCGAGAGAGATCATATTTTTTAAAATAATCTCAGTGAATTCTAAGTATTGAATCCATAAAACTTGAATAAAATTGATAATCATAAAAGAATTAACATTGAAGGAGCGTTTATATGCTCTAAAATTTCATCACGATCAATCATTGCATTGAAATCTTTTTCGTCTTTCTTACTTGTCATTAGTTGTGAATATTTTATCCAAAATAGAAAAAAATAAAAATATGCTTGGTCAAAAGTATAAATTAAATAAATACATAGATCAAATCCTAAAAAGAGTGCACTGTAATGCAAGTAACTCTTATGATATGTATTCTGATATTGAGCAGGGAGAGAGAGACAAATAAAAAACTCAGGTGCAGTATGAAATTTCAAATCGAGACCTTTTACGTTCATGTGTATTCAAATGATCATAATCCATGTTGTGAATAAAATTAGGCAAATCCTTCCAATCAAGATCTTTTAATTTCTGTGGTTCTGTGTGATGATATGTCAATTGGTTATCTTGATCCTCGCCGTCATCGTCCTTATACAAAACCCATGTACTATCATTATCATCATCATCATCATCATCGTCGTTGTCTTGTTGTTGTTGTTCTTCGTCTTCTTGCTTATCATTCATAGCTTTTGTCTTATTGACACTGAATTCACCTTTTTCATGTGTATTGTCGTCAAATAAGGTACTTGGTTGAACTGCACATGGCTGTGTTTTTACTGATGATGGACTCATACAGCTATTGTTGATATAAAAATCGGGAGGAGTGACGTTCCGATCCATTGTCTAAGGAAAAACCAAAACAGAGTACATGTAGAATTTCAGTTCATTTTCCACACTTACTGGAGGCATCATTATAGGACGATTAAATGTTGATTGTTCAATCACCTCATCATCAAAAGCTTTATTATCGATGGATGACGCTTGTGAAAAATTTTCCATTAGTCTAAAAATTATTCTACTTAAAGATTTCTATCTAAAATATTATTGGAAGTATCGAAACTATAAAAATAAAAGTCAAAGTCAAAGACTTTTGTATATTCATTTCATTTCTATACAACACTGGTTGATGACAATGACAATCAGTTAACTGTTATAAGATTACAACATCTATGATGCATACAGAAAGATCTATTTTGATTTTCCAGTCAAAAGACAAAACATTCTACTGAATCAATATCTAAGATTCTTCTAGAATACAATTTCATGTAATTTACTATCGGATTTCGAAAGAGATCATTTTTTTTTAAATAATCTCAAAGAATCCTAGGTATGGATTCTATAAAACTTGAATAAAATTGATAATCATAAAAGAATTAACATTGAATTCATTCGATGCGAATCATAGAATACGTAATATATTCGACGTGTAGGGTGTAATATTATAGATATGATAATAATAAACATAAATAGACACATAAATTTCGTACTATTGTACGAGAAAGATATTGAAGAACGAACGAACGAACGATATTTTATTCAGAAATAATAATCTGAATTTCTACGATGATATTTTGAATCAATAGTAAGCCATGGTAAAAACGCAGATCGTATTGAGTAGAATATATTAAAGAACGAACGAGCGAACGATATTTTATTCAGAAATAATAATCTGAATTTTTACGATGATATTTCGAATTAATAATAACCCATGATAAAAACGCATATCATGTCGAGTAGAATATATTGAAGAACGGACGAACGATATTTTATTCAGAAATAATAATCTGAATTTCTACGATGATATTTCGAATCAATATTAAGCCATGATAAAAACGCAGATCGTGTCGAATAGAATATATTGAAGCGAACCATTCGAAAATATTTGAGAAATATTAAATTATTATCAAGATTTTTTTCGGTAGTCCATCGATGTATATGTACTTCTTTCATCGACCTATCTTGAAGATGTGAAGGCGTACGTTTATGTAGTATAGACGAATGATGTGAAGCATCGACGGTTGATCTAATATAATGATAAAAGATGCATTGATTATATGAACGATTTAGAAGTGAATAAAGACGATGACGACGTAGTGCGTTCTAGGATTACGATGCGTAGTGAAGACAGAATGGTCTTTATGTGAAAGAATTTGATCTAGAATGAAAAAGTGGAAAAGAAAATGATGTATGAATCCTTTCATTAAATGAATAAATGAAAGAAAGAAATACGCTAAACTAAATTGAATAAGAATTAAAGTTACATAAAAAAAAATGAAAGTGAGTAAATGAAATGAAATGCTAGATAATTGTTTCATTCAGATTGAATTTGAGGGTGTGTGAATTCAATATTTTAAACCATTTCTACAACCGTTTTCATGATATCTAAAGAAGAGAGAAAATAAAATAGCCATGATTTAAAAAGAAATATGTCGTGCTCCGTACG